CCTAGCTGTGAGTCCTGGGGCAAGGAGCTCCCGTTTCATCAACGGCAAAGTACCAGAGCGTGAGATCCTTCAGGGCCTGTTCTACGTACTTAACCCAGAGCCTGGACAGAGGACCAGCATGGCCCCCTTATTTGAATGGTGCCTGAGAGCCTGCCTCCCCTGCCTTGCAGGGTTGCTCTGAACGTCTAATGAGTCAGGCAGGTGGAGGACCACTGACCTACAAAGCCTTATAAGGCATAAGATTTCACAGTTGTCATGGATGGAAGACACCATCCCCGCTCTGGCCACGAGATTTGATCGTGGACTTTTACACAGTCTTGGTGATGGCTCAAAACAGCTTTATATGTCTTTTTCTGTGGTCTCTGAAAATTGGAAACAACCCGAATGGCAATCAGTAGGCAAAAGATAAGCAAGCTGTGGTGCATCCACACGATGGGGAGCTACTTGGTAATATCAGGAACAAACCACTGATGTTGAGCACATGCTGTGTGATTTCGTTCATAGAAGACTCTAGAAAAAGCAAAGGAACCTAAAGTGAAAGAAGGCCCATCAGGGGTTGCCTGGAGGTGTGGGTGGAAGGCAGAATGGTTACGGATGGACAAAAGGAGACGTAGGTGTGATGGAAATATCTGTCCTGGTTGTGGCGATGACCACACCAAAGCAAACAAATGTCAAAATTCATCAGCTTGTGCACTTGATGTCAGGTGTATTATACGTCAGCTGGACCTCAGTAAGGCTGATTACAAGAGAGATTGGTCTGCGTTTTCCTCTCGGTGCTCTGTCTCCCCTTTCCAGGGAAAATGTTCTTAGAGGTAGGCCTGTGGTTACCCTTGGCATGACAGAGAATGGGGAAAACTCTGTCTTTGTTGGGTTCCACTGTTTCTTCCTGAAGCTTTTCCCAGACTGACTGCAAGACACAAGCTTCTTTCTAACTTTCTGTCTCTCTGGGACTTCTCCCTTCTGGAGGTATTGGTTGGAGGCCTTGGTAGATTTTTGGATGGAGACACGATTGTGTGGTGGCTGCGTCCCAAGCGAGTCTTGGATTCCGGCTTTAGGACCATAAGTCATACATCACACGACCCTCCGGTTCTCCCGCACACCAGCCCGGGTCTGCTCCACCACTGGCGTCCCATCCAAGGTGGCCGTCACTGAGAACATGATGTCTACATGATTATTTTCCCCCAAAACATGGTGTCATAATGATAATTTTAATCAGACACTAATCCAGGTAAAACTTTTAGATCCTCCAAAAACCCCAGGCTCTTTGGGAATGGAAGCTAGGAGGGGCAGATGGTCATAGAATCTCCTGGCTCTAGAGGACCTTCTGCCCACTCAGTGTCAGTTCCTGGGCCTGAAAACCAACTTCTATTTCATTTAACACCTGCCGGAGTTCTCTGTCCCCAGGTCCCTGCGTTCTCTCTCAGCTTGCGGCTTGGTTTTGCCGATGTCCTTCTAGTTTTCCAACCACATATTCCCATGGAGAGTAAAAGCACAACAGGTTCAGCAATGCACAACAGTACAGAGGCCTTATGAGCCTCTGAAGGCATTGCAGAGACAAGATCATGCCTGACCTCACAGAAGGCTAAGAAGGCAGGGGTGGGAACCTCATGCAGTAGATGAGGACAGAGGGTCAAGGAGCTTGGTCAGTATCATGTACAAGAGACCAGATGACCATCTGGTCACTTGTCCCTTAGCTGGGGGCTCTCTCCTCTCACCTACACACTTTTGCTGCACATGGGGGCCGGGAAAGGGAGGGGCAGGCAGTAATCTGAGCAGAAGTCTCTGCTCCCAGACCCAAGTTGGTCTGAGCAAGGTAAGACAGGATGGAGGCCACCCTGCCGTGATCAGCCTAGTCCAACAGCTGGTGCCCCAGGGTGGACAGCCTGTCTGTCTACTGCAAATACCACTTCAGCTGCAGAAGATGACCCTGTGCTTTCCCTTCAACAGAGGGGCCCATCTTCTGCATTCTTCTCTCCACAGACCTCCCTCCACCCCAGAATAGCTCCCTCAGGAGCCCTGGGGCTTTCTGGATAAAGGGCAAAGCAAGGTAAATAAAGGTGGTGGGGACTTGAGTAGCAGCTGTGTCAGGACTGTGTGCAGGCGAGTCCTAGCTGGTCTTTCAGCTACACCAGGCCTCCAGCAGGTCTTTCTCTTGAGACGGGCACTGCGCTCTTCTGTTGGGGCTGCCATAACAAAATGCCACAGACTGTGGGCTTAAGTGGGAGAAATGTACTTTCACAGTTCTGGAGGCTGGGGGCCCAGCATTGGTTGGGTTGGTCCCCCTGAGGCCTGCCTTTGGCTTGCAGGTGGCCGATTTCTTGTTGTGTCTGTGTGTGGTCAGCTGTGTGCATGCACATGCCTGGTGTCCCTCTCTGTGCCCTACCCTCTTCTTATAAGGACACCAGCTTTACTGGATTAGGGCCCACCCTAACAACCCCATTTAACCTAATTAGCTCTTTAAAGCCTTATCGTCAAATATAGTCACCTTCTGAGGTACCAGGGATAGGGCTTCAGCATATGAATTTTGGAGGCACACAATTCAGCCCATAACAGGCATAATGTCCCAGGTGGTTAGATGGGGGTCTGGCTTTCTGCACTGGACAGCCAACTGTCCTTGGTGAGATCACATCCTCCAGACCGAGGCCCTAGGCTCAGAGTGACAGCTGAGATCAGGCGGTGGGGGTGAGCCTCCTGTCCCTCAGGAGTCATTTTGCCCGGACTTCCCAGGGGTCCTGCCTAGGGACATTCTGGCTCATGTGGCATACAAGCCCTACCTCTGACCTCTTGATCATTTTCTCTTTTCCAAATCTTGCCCTCAGATAAGAATAAAATAATAATATAATGAATAATATTTATTGAGGCTCACTATGTGTTAGACCCTATGGTTTTATGTATTATTGAGTTGTAGTATTATACCCGTTATACAGATGAGGAAACCGGAACTTGGAGTCATTAGTCCAAAGCCACACAGCTAGTTGAAGGCGACGTAGGCATCATAGCTCTGGAAGAGCCCGGCCCTGGGTGAGTCAGGAGAAGCTTGAGGCCCATCCATGTGGCCAGCCAGCAGGGAAGGTTCAATTCTAGGAATGGCACTAGATTCTAGGAACATAACTGACGCGAGCAGAATGTGGTTTCTGACCAGTTCAAACCAACAAGATTCGAGATGGTAATAAAAATAGCCTACAGTCATCCCCAAGCTCATTACACGCTCCTTAGCACACTAAAACCACGCCCGTTGGTGCCATAGCAGCTCTGAGGCAGGCCACGTCAGGACAGAAAGAGGGTGTGAGCCCTTTGCCCCAGATCCCCTCCCTATTCCAAGGAGACCCCACCTATCCCAACAAATATTCCTCTCCTGCTTAAACTGCAGCTGTAAGACCAGAAGCCTGACCCGGCGCACTGCCCGCCTCTCTAGCACGCCCGCGCTCTCTCCCTGAGTGTGTGCCTTCTCTTTATCAAACTCCCCTCTCCTCACCCCTGCTCAACCTGCTCGCGGATCCATTCTCAGGCAGAGCCCAGCACCCGTCCTGGGTTGGGGCCCCACCCGGTGCACCGGGAGACTTCCCGGATTGGACTGCCCGGCAGCCAAGGGATCCTGGGAATCATACCCTTCCCTGCATGGAGGAGAGCATTTTGGGCTCACAGGGCCTGTGGGGAGAGGGTGGGCCTGTTTCCGGCGAAGGGATCCTGGATGCTGATAGAGGGCACCCCGGAGGAGCGCGGAGCACGGAGCCCTGAGCAGCCCGCAGGAGCTGGCTCTGCAGGGCTCCAGGGTCTCTCAGCCCATCGGGTGGGCTTAAGGAGGCACTCACTGCAGGCCTCGGGCTCCAGGGCAGAGAGAATGAGGGAGATGAAGGGCAACCTCCTCTAGACAGAGAGACTCACTGGAAATCAGGGCACTGCGTCCTAAGACGGCATCACAGGGCTAGACCAGAGGAGGGGGAGGCCTCTGCAGTGATTCAGCGATGAGGGGGGTTCCATGTCAGAGCACGGCCTGCCATGGTAGAGATCTGATCGTGGGCTTGGAAGCTCAATGCAGGGACAGCAGAGGAAATGCTATTTTACACAGAGGCTCCAAACAAGTGGAATTGGTCACTGAGACTGCAGGCTGTAAATATGGTCAAAGCCCATGATCTTAGACCTGGACGGGCCCTCTGGGCTTAATGGGGGGGTACGAACTGTCCATGGGAGGAGCTTGGTTGAGGGGAAGGCGCTATGAGTGGGGTGGCAGGGGAAGGGCCACCTGATCCAAGGAAATGATCAGATCTGGGGACCAAACCCTGCTCTGACCTCAGCCAGCTCCGGGATCTCAGACAAGGAGCCTAGACCTCTCCTGGCCTTAGTTTCTTTCTGTGCAAATTAAGGATGTCAGCCACATAGTGCTCAGGACTCCCCAGATCTTACACTAAGATTCTGTGGTCCCCAGGCCAGGAGACGAGAGCAGAGTGGCCAGGATGGCTGACAGGGAGGTGGGTGGGGCCAGAAGCAGCCACCAGGTGTTCTGCTTGGAGAGTGTCTTCCGGGAGAGTTACCCCTCCATCGGGGTGCTAGCCGGAGACCTGAAACCGTTCGAGATGGGCCGTGGTCTGACCTGGTGTGTTGCCTACAAAGGTACAGATTGGAAGGCAAAATGGAAGGTCACCAGTAGAGTACATAAACTTTGAAACCAGATAAACCTATGTTTGGAGCCCACCTCTGCCATTTATTTGCAAAGTACCTTTGAGAAAATTATATGATCTTTCTGTGCTCAGATTCCTCACCAGTAAAATTTGGATAGTAACACATTCCTCCCAGAGTCAATGCACAAAATAAATTAGATAATGTATAGTACACACCAGCACAGTTCCTGATAAGTTATAAATCCTCAGCACACAGTTATTTCGTATTATTATTGTTAGCTTAGAGCAGGGAGGGCAGGAAGAGGGGACAGTCCAGGTCAGCCCGGAGAGGCTGCATGAGGCTCTCTCTCCAGGCTTGGCCCGTTTCCCTGGACACTGCAGGTTTCCATGAAACTAGAATCTGAGACCTGCCACGGAGCAAGAATGTTGTTTGGCTGGCTGATCAGTGGTCTAAGAATGAGCCGAAGAGCTGAGACAGGCATTCCGGAAATGGAGAAATAACTAATGCAAATAAACCCACGGAGCCACTGAAGCGTAAGTACAGTTTTTACTATGATATTTATGGAGATCTTTTATTCTTTGATAGGGTTACGTTTAATCTCAAATGACTTCAAAGGAACAGTTGGGGGAATATTAAATGTTTGAAAGAATTAATTAATGCAACCAATTTTACTTGTGCAATTGACATCCACTGAGCTACAGGAGGTGTAGCTTGCAGGGAAAAAGAAAAAACAGCCAACAGTTAATGTGTAAGGGCTGATGCCATTTCTGGTTTCCTCAATAGAGCTGGGCTATTTGTAAAAAGTACGTGAATATTAATAATAAGTGATCTCTTTGGGTGAAAACTAGCTCTGAAAAATGGTGAAAGCTGTTGCCATTGTATATCCTGGAGGTTTTATCTGTATCTCTGGAGAACGAGGTTTCGTTGCTAGATATTACATAAAGAAGTGAACAGTTCGTCTCTTTCTTTGTTGAATAGTGTTAAAAAACAAAATTTGAAGATGTAATTGGCTCTGTTAAATGATTCACGATTGGACAGCATCCCCTCGGGCAAGTGGAGAGATGCCCTGTGGACCTTGAGAGAAGGAAAGGATTTTAACGGTAGAGAGGAGCAGAAAAAGGGAAATTACTAGCAGAGAATCCACTGTTTTGGACAAGGTCACCCTCCGAGGGGACCTGCCAGGGTCTAGCCGTGAATTTCCTAGCGCTGACCAGGGAATTCCATGTCTGCTGGTTAAAGGTTCCGTTCCTGCGGGGCTGAGACTGCAGTAGGTTAGGTCTGAGGTTTGACTTGCTGACCTAGGGCCACTGGCATGACTGACTCCATCTTTGGGCCTGTGGTTCTCGTGGTGATAACTCGGTGCCCCTTGTGGCTCTCGACACTGGATTGGAGAGTGGTGGTGTTTGCAGACAGCGGCTACACTGCTGGGGTGCATCAGACCCCCGGGAGACACACACTGCTGGGGGAGCTTCTGAGAAACCCAGGGCATAAAGACACTGGTGCCGGCAGGACCAGGGGCTTCCTGCATCCAGCAGAGAATCTGGTTATGGGTTAAAAGAAGAAGGAAGACATAACCAGCTGGATTCGACTGCTGCAAGTATGAAGGGTAGGTGGTGAGAAGGCAAACACTAAGTCCCGGAGCAAAAGCCGAGCTCTGCATGGAGGCTGCAGCCGTGCTGGGGCAGCTGGGGCCTCGGCAGGTCTGGGGCTGGTGGGCCTCTAACCCCTCCCAGTGCACCTGGCTCCTGGTCGCCTCTCTGCCCTGGACTGCCATTCTGTTATCTGTTACATTTTTTAGCTGACCTTGCAAATCTTTTTAGCCTTGGGTGGGCGGTAGAAGGAAGCGAATGGACCAGGGCTCAGGTTCTCCCCACCTTCCCACGGCCATTCCTTCCCCCACAGAGCAGGTGTTCTGGGGGAGGCTGAGTGTCCCTGTGCTTTGGAAGCCCAGGATGCAGGAAGTCCCTTAGTCCCGAGGCAGCGGGGGGACTGCGTGTGGTCTGCCCCCCAGTCAACCCAGCCAAGACGTGTAGCTCTAGGTAGGCAGCAGACCAAGGGGTCGCAGTCATTGGCAGCCCACGGACTGCAGCTCTGTGAAGACCGTGCCCTGCCAGCAGCTGACGCCCTGGTGACCCATGACGGCCGAGGGCGCAGGTATGGAGCCAAGTGCCTTGAACCCTCTGAGGCTCGGTTTCTTCATTTGTGGAGTAGAGATGGCAGCACCTCCCTCTGGGACTGTGGGAGTGGACAGGGGAAATCTCGGTGCAGGGCCTGGCCCTCCGGCAGTGCTTCTCTCACCTGACCTGCCCTCAGAACAGCTTGCAGAGCATCCCAGCTGTGAAGTAATGTTGGGCGGCTCCTGGGATCCAGGGCAGAGCATGGCGAGGAGAATGGTGGGGACGCTGGCATCAGAATGAGGGGGAAGAGCTGGCTCCCTGCACAGCTCAGACCCCCCTGAGGCACACAGTCCCCCTCCGGTGTGCAGACCCCTGGAGGGCATACGAGGCAGACCCGGTCCCTGTGCACAGCGTCCTGGGATGTACTTCCCTGCCCTTCCTCAGTCTCCCCATCTGGGCCGTCCCAGCATTCCTCGCCGAGGCTGGGATGTGAGTTCTTTAAAGTTCACTTTGGAAATGAGGGCATGAAGCCGCCTGGAACGTTGGGCTCCCGGCTTGCTGAGCTCTGCAGCTCTGTGGGACTGGCTGCTGCCGTCAAAAAGAACAGAGCCGTCATTCTGCAGGAGGCTTTAAATGATAATAGGGTTTTTGCTTCCCAGTAATTGGGAAGGTGCTAATCTAGTGACTCATGAGCTACATATAAAAAAAAACAACACCCTGGAAATGAAACTGCATCGTGTTTTCTGAGCACCTCATCTCCTTATTTCAGTGGGGAGTCAGAGCTGGGGTCCTCGCTGTATGGAGCGGGGCCTGGTCGTCCTGGCAACCTGCTGGAGAGGCCACACAGGTCCCCTCTAAGTAGTCCAGGGGGGCAGGAGCAGGGAGGGATGGTCACAAGCCCAGCCCCAGGCCGCTGGGAAGGGGAGCTGGCCTGTGAGCGGGTTGCACTTACACGGAGGCAGTCATTACCAAATTAGTGTCAGAATCTCCCAGGGTGGGTGAGTGTGAAGTGTGGTGCACGTGTGTGCATATGTGTGCTGAGTCTGTGTGTATGTGCACATGTGGGCTGGCTGACCCTGTGGGCTTGGAGTGGGTGTGAGAAAGCGGGCGTGCCTGGAATACCGCTTCCCTCCTTTCGGCTCGGCCTCTCTCGCCGCTTCCTCCATCCGAGTTGTGTCCTTGAGCTCTGGAGACCTGCGCTGCCCTGGGTGGGGAACCCACACAGAGGGGTGAGCTGCATTTTGCTACCAGGGAGCAGGTGGGGTTTCAGTTGGGCCCCTTTGGAGAAATGCAGTCCCTTTGTCTCCTAAAGGGACAGACAACTGGACTCCAAGTCTGGAGGGTGCCTGGGGCTGCTCAGTCCTGGGACCCCTCTCTTCGGGCTCAGGGGTGAGGCGTCTCCTCCACACCCACCCTTGCATCCCCTGGGACCTCCTGCCGCTTCCCCTTTGCCAGGCACAGCCCCTTCCTGCTCTTGACTCCTGTCCTCTCCCTGGGGGATCTTGCTGCCCGAAGGGCCCCCAACCTTGGTGTGTCCCTCGGGACCTCTGGGGCCCCGAAGGGCAGAGTGTCCTTCCAGTTTCCTGCAGGCCGCTCCCAGCCTGAGTCACAGCCGCACCCCCACCCTCCCCGGCTCTCCCCCTGCCTCCCACCCCTTTCATTAACTTCATTCAAGCTAATAATCCTGCCGGCAATTCCATTGTCTCCTCTTAATTCTAATTTCCTTTAGTCTCAAGGGGCAAATCAGCAGAGTGAGAGGGTGAAGTGGTGGCACGCCCCCGGGTAGTGAGGGTAGTGATGGGGAGCTTGAGCCAGTGGGTGATAGAAGCCCGCCTTCAGCAGCAGGGTGCCCCTTGCCCCCACCCCTTCCTCGGCCCTTCCCTCCTCCTCACTGAGCTCCAGCCAGACTGGAAGAGCGTCCAGGTCGGGAACCTGGGGTTGTCCCGCCTCCGCTCACGCCTTCCCCGAATCAGTCACTGAGTCACAGATTGACCCTCTGCGGCACCGAGGCCCTCCGCAGTGCTCCCCTCCCCACGGCCGCGGCCCGGGGCGCCCTGCCACCGGGCTCGCCCTCCCCTTCCCACGAGCTGCTGATCCTGCCCGCTGCGTCCTGCGTGGGCCCCTGGCCACCATCCGACACACCCTCCTGTCACCTGCTGAGCGCCCGCTGCCCCAGCCCCAGTTCCTCGGGCCTCCTTCCCTCCAGGACGTGTCCCCCGGCCCACAGGACGGGGCTGGGTGGGCTTCCGAGAGCTCCCGCAGCAGAGCGGGGGTCCCCGACACCCCATCGGTTCTGCTGATGACAGCGCCCCTGCTGGTGCGGCTTTCCCACGGGCCTGCTGTCCCGGAGAAGGAAGGCTTTGGGAATGGGGGGTGTGGAGGGGGTAGAGAGGAGGCAGAGGCCCCTGCCTCTGGCTGTGGGTTCTGAATTGGGAAATACCACGGGAGAGGGTGGGCTGTTTACTATTATTGGGCTTTTTTCCGCTGCTGATAAGGCTGGGTCAGAGTGACTGGGCCGCACTGGACACGCTCCCTCCTGCCTCCCTGCGGGGTAGAGCCCGCCCCACTCTCAGGGCAGTGCAGCCTCCGGGCAGGGCCCCGGCCTCATCACTGAGCCTGAGCCCCGGAGGGAGGGGGTGTCGGAACAGCACAGGCCACCCCAGACGCGGGCGGTCACACACCTGCTTGGCCCTTTTCCCAGCCTCAGCCATCAGTCCTGCTTCTCCCGAGGGCAGAAAGAATGACAGAAAGTGGAGGGGACGCAGGGGTTTCTGCCCACTGTTAAAAGATGAACTGAGGCATATTAAACATTTTCAGTTCCTGTGAGCAAAACTCGATTGGAATGGGGTAGCGCCAAGCGGGAAATGGCTCGGCACCTACGTCAGGAGCTGGGGCAACACCTCTAGAGAGAAGAGGCAGAGGGAAGCCGGGAAGTGTCTGGCCGGCCGCATCACCGAGGAATCCCAGCTGGCTGGCTGGGATGGGTCTCCTACGTGGGAGGCCTTAGAAGCTTGGCTGTGGTTGGCTTCTGCAGACGGCGGAGGCCCTAGAGCCACTTCACGCCCGGCCTCTTGTTTAACTGACTGGACACCAGGACTTCCAAGCGCCCAGAAGTTTTCTATTATAGGCCGGCAGGAGCCTGGAGAGAGGTAAAGGATGTCTCTCCCTACACGAACCACCGCCGGTGTGCAGCCAGATCCCAGCGCACAGTCCAGAGCCTGGCACATTGCATGTGGTCAGTAAAAGGGTGTCAAGGGGAGGAAAGGTCTTCTATTTATTGGCCTCACCAAACCTCAGAGGTAGTACGGATTGTGATGATGAGGAAACTGAGTCCTAAGAGGCGAGGGGACTTACCCAAGGTCTCAGGCCGTCGGTGACCCCTGCTGTCTTCTCACTATAGGATCCCGTTTCCTGGCCCAGCTTCAGTGGGGGGCCGGGGTGGCTAGGTGGGCTGCCCACGGGGACCCACACAGAGGAGCTGGCGCTCCGGGGCGGTGGCAGCTCTGAAAGTTCGAGTTCTGCCATTTGATCCCCACTTCCTCTCTAGATTCCCTGTGGCCCATGTTTCATCCTCATCCTTCCTCTGCTCTAACCCTGTTCTCTCTCAAAAGACGGCCGTCCAAGATCTCCTGGGACCAGGGGACGTGATTCACCCCCAGAAGCTAACACATCCGCACGTCAGATCCTAGAATTCAGAGAGAAAAGGACGCTGTTGCCTTCTAGATACCAAAGTCCAGGCTCCCCGATAACACGCCAGAACTTGTCTCCAGACCCGCCCCATCCCCTCTGACCTGCCCTGTCGGGGCCCCTCCCTGCTGAACTCTGCCCTCCTATGTCCCCCTGCCTCTAATGTTGACATCAAACCCACCTTCACCGAGGCTCAGGGAAAGGAGCACACGGCCTCAGCTACCCTCTGCTAGTGCTCTGTCGGTTTTATGCTTTGAAACGCATTTTTTTCTCCAGTAATTTTAACAATTCTTAGGTAGAGAAAGTTCTAGCCCTCCCTTTTACAGGGGACTGAACAGACTTCTTCAGTGCATAGACTTAGAAGCCACATAGAGGCTGAGCAGATGGCTTCAAGGAAAGGTTTCGGCTGACTCAACCTTTAAAAATCTTCTGTTTATATTCTATTCCCTTGCCTTATTTCCTTAACATCTCATCTCATCGCATAGCTGTTCTAGGAAGGCCCTTTTGAAAAGATCCTGTTTTTGGTTAAAAAACATGATCACGTGGAAACCTGCACACAGATGTTTACAGCAACTTTATTCAGAACTGCCAAAGCTTGGAAGCAGCAGAGAGGCCCTGCAGGAGGTGAGGGATGGATAAACTGTGGTCTGTCCAGACAGTGGAATAGTCGGTGTTAAAAAGGAATGAGCTCACAAGATACGAAGGATCCTTTTAAATATCATATTGCTAAGTGAAAGGGGCCAACCTGAAAAGGCTGTGCAGTGCGTGATTCCAACTCTGCAACACTCCGGAAAAGGCAAAGCTACGGGGACAGTGGAAAGACGAGTGGTTGCCCGGGGCTGGGGCAGGGGAGGGGGGAATAGGGGAGCACAGGGGACTTTGAGGGAAGGAAACTACCCTGTGTGGCACTAACTGGTGGGCAGATGTCACCATACACTTGTACAAGCCCATGGAATGTGCAACACAGAGTGGACCCTGAGCCCCGGGCTTGGGGTGGTTATGGTGCATCAGTGTAGGTCACACGTGTCCCTCTCTGGTGGGGGATGTTGATCATGGGAAGACTATGTGGCTGAGGGTCAAGGAGTTTACAAGAAGTTTCTGTATCTTCCCCTCAGCTTTGCTGGGAAACTAAAGATAACTCTAAAAAATAAAGTTTTTGGTTCTTAGACACGCCTGCCAGTGAGAGGTGGCCCATAGGATGCAGAGGAAGTGATGCTGTGAGGTCTGGACTAGGGGGCAGGACGTCCTGCAGCTGAGGCTGGTTCTCTGGGAACATCCACCCTCTGCGGACACCCCGCTCGGAAGCCCAAACCAGACGGAGAAGCCCATGGAGGCATGGGGGCCATAACCCTGGCTGAGTGCGGCCTTCGGTCATCTCAGCCCTGGTGCCAGGCCTGGGGGTGAAGGAGCCTCGGGACCACTCTGCCCCAGCTGTTGGGATGTCACAGAGCAGAGGGAGGCCATTCCTGCATCCCCTGTCCGAACCTGAGCATCGAGTGCTTTGTTTTCTGCCACTTACGGTTGGAGTGGGTTGTTATGCAGCGACAGGTAACTGGGACATTGTGCCCCATCAAAACGTTAGGGGACCTCACTTTCTCAGATTCCCAATACTCTGTTTCTAATCGCTGGCAGACAGGCAGGATGTGGGTTTCTGGGGGGCCGGCCCGCAGTGGTCCGCGGGATCGATCGCCGGGCCTGGATGTGACGGCCAGGCCGCGTTCCCTTCCCTTCCTGCCAGTCACTTGGCTGAAAGGGGAAGTCAATGGGGCCGTTAAATCGTTAATCACCCATACGCCCTCCCTGCCTCCTCCCGCCTACAGAGGCTGCTCATGGGTCTCAGCCAGGAGGCCTGTGGGGAGGGCTCTGGCCCTGAGACCTATACCTGCATCTGAGCCGCCCTTGGGGGCTGTTAGTGGTTATTTACAAAATGACTATTGACCGCAGGAGATGATAATTGCAAGTGACAAATGCCTGCAAACGCCAGCTCTGTCTGGCCAGGCAGGGGCTCTGGGTGGTGGGTGTGGGGCATCAGGGCGCGGGGAGGGGTGGCAGGTGGCAGTCCGGGACTGGTGTGGGGAGGCCCAGAGGGGCATGTGCGAGAGAGTGAGTGTGTCAGTCTGGGGAGGGTCTGTCGGACCCGTCGGCCACCCCACCTTTGCCAAGCCCTGTGTCACCAGAGGGGACCATGGGGTGCAGGCAGGTCAGGGCTGCTGATGCTTTGAAAACACCCTTTCTTCCCACCGGGCCTCGGGGTGACAGCGCTTCCTTCCCAGTCCCAATGCCTCCAGAAGCTGAGCAAGATGAGAATGAATGGCCAGGGCTGAGCGAGAGGAGGGCAAACACGGACGGACCTGACCGGCAGGAAGGGGGCCTGCTCACCGATCAGGCTGTGGCTATGCAGTACGTTTTCAAAATAAAATGTTTTCATACAAATGGTAACGTGTCGCAAAGCTGTCCTGCCCCGGGCTCTCCACCCCCACTTCACAGTGTACCTTGTGAGCTGTTCTGTGTGGGCACATAGAGGGGCCCCTTATTCTTTAATGACTCTGTGTGGCATTTCCTGCTCTGGATGCACCATAATTGATTCAGCCAACTTCTTGCTCATGGGTGCTTCCCCCTTCCTGCTCCTCAGACTTTAAAGTGCATGTGACCCCCCGGGGGTCTTGCTGAAATGCAGGCTCTGGTTCAGTAGGAGGTTGAGGGAGGGACCTGAGGTGCTGCAGTTTTGACCAGCTCTGATAAATAGCTCTGTAGGTGCCTTTCATGTGCAGGTGTGTCTGTGCAGGACATACTTGTAGAAATGGGATTTCTGGGCCAGTACATGTATGTGGCCTGGTAATCTGATAGATTCCGCAAATTGCCCTTCATAGAATGCCCACTCTGTTGGCACTGACACGAGAGCCTGTGTCCTCACTCCCTTGTGACTGTTGAAAGAAGTCTTTCCACTTCTCCTTAATGTTTTTAGTTTCTACATTGTGAACTTAGCCGTTGTATTATTGGCATTTTATTCGGGGCTGCTGGACCTTCACGGTGAATTCTACCCCTCATATAGGGCTCCCTTGTCGCCCTGCACCCCAACGTCAAGCCCTCATTTGTCGGATGTACTTGTGCTCCATCCTCTTCTTTATATTCCTGTGTGTTTTCATTTAAGAGTTTTCAAACGTGAAGTTAATTTGCCAGTCGGTTCATTTGCATATGCATAAAGTCATACCTTACATAAAATCTTAATTTAGAAAAGTAGTTTCCTCCACCCTCATTATTTCATGAAAGCGTTTTGTTCAAACTTTTCGTGTGCATTTTCAAGATTATGGTTTTCTTCTCCATCATTAGAGGCAAAGTTCTGAGTCATTTATCCCAATTATCCAGAGCGTATTATCGCCACCTTCTGAAGGCTGAGATGCCACCACTTGGGTATCCGTGTGTACTAATGTCACTGCACAGGCTATCCCGAGCTATGAATATTTGTTCCTTAACGTTCAGTGTTTTGATCCGATTGTCCTGTTGGTGTCTTTTTATGAGACTGTCCATTGAGATACTTATGGTGTGACTTTCCCCCTTTTACTTAATTTATGCTTTTTATGAGTAACACATCGGGATAGAAATGCATAGATACAAATGGCAAACATTATATGAGGCTTCTATTTCAACATATAAAAAAATTCCCCAGTTTTTTCTATCCAAACCACTTTGAGTTCTTTTAGCTTCACTGCCATTTTCTCTGAATTTCTAAATAACACACGCATGCTGCTATTTTTAACATTCTAATGCTGTAGATACTGTATTGACTTCCTAGATGGAACATGTGGATTTCTTTCACTCTGGTCTCACCCACTTCCCCTCTCACTTCTCCTAATACAGTTACCTTACAACTTTTTGGGCTAAATAAATATTCAATTTATGCTGTTGTGATTCTATGCATATCATCTGAGCAGAGCCATGGGGTGAATCACAGCTGCGTGGCCTTTCCAGGACAATTTCCTGTTTGTTCCCACATTTTCTATTGACTTTCTCTTCCTTTTGCGTAGCTTTCCCTGTATTTATCTTTAATTTATCCCCTCACTCTGACAGAGCACAGCTCCTGTCTCAGATGTTCAAAACTCCAGTCACACACACTGAGAAGTGACTGGTGGCCACCACAGGGAAGGGGTGGGGTTGGTGGGGAGGGTGAGGGGGATAAAGGGGCATAAAATTCTCAATCATAATGTAGGCTGGCTGTGGGGAGGGTAGTGCAGCGTGGACAATACAGCCAATGATTCTGTAACATCTTCCGATGTGGACAGATAGTCACTGCACTAGTGGGGGTGAGGGTTTAATAATGTGGGGAGCTGCTGAAGCAGTGTGTTGTATACTTGAAACTGATGTAAGATTGTGTATCAGTGATACTTCAGTAAAATAAGAAAAAGCTCCAGTGAGACCCCCCCTCCTACAGCCTCTTGCTTCAAGGCATTTTGGCCGCCGCCTTCCCCTGCCACCAGCTGTCATTCGGGGACCCCCTCCCCGCCCTGGAACCCACTCTGTGCCCTCCTGCCTTCCACCTTCCTCTGTTCGCTCCCATTTTGGGGGAGCCATCTCCGAACAGTTTTCAGAGAAAAGGCACATGGAGGATCTTCGTCTCTGAAAATTGTTCTTTTTCTCCCTCCATAGATGATAGTCCGGCTGGGCATGGCGTCCTGCACCGATGCGATTTTCTCTGAGAAACTGAAGACCCCTGGTCTCCTAGCTTCCAGTGTCATTGAGAAATTGTTCTGCTACTGGGTCTGCTGGCTGTGAAGCCAGCCTCCGCATCCTGTGTCCTCCGTGCACCCCCTGGAAGACTCTAGGCCCCCTCTGTGCACCTGGTCCTCTGAGGTTTCATGGTCACGTACTTAGGCCCCTAGCTCTGTGCTGGGCTCTAGATGATGGACCTTCAGTGTGGAAACAGGCCCTTCAGGTCTAGGACAGTAACTGGCACAATATCTTATTTTTGCACAGCTGCCCTCCTTCTGTTCTCTCTTCTGTTTTCCCAAAACTTGTATTGTTCTTGGACATGTGACCTCCAGGACAAATGCTCTAGTTTCTCTCTTTCCTATTCTTAATCTCTTTACCTTTTTATTATCCGTCCTAAGAGATGTTTTTATCATCATCTTCCAACCTTTCTATTGATTTTAAATTCACGCTATTATACATATTTTTTGTTTCCTGCATCTCCTCCCAGAACACTTCTTTTTTTGGCACCCTGTTCTGATTTCCATGGATACAATAGCTTCTTTTTATCTCTCTGAGGATAGTAACGATAGTATTTGGGAGCTTTTGCCTGCTCCCTGCCTCTGTTCACTTTCCTTTATGTTGTGTTTTGCTTGGTGTGCGTGTTTCGCGTTGGAGACTTTCTTAAATCTGTTGACCTTTGGCCTGGTGTTAGAGTGAAGCGTCACCCTGGAGACTGGGAGCTCCGCCACGCGGGCCAGGCTTTCCCCATGGTAGGTTTCCCTGGGGAATCGCAGGGCCAGGAGCCACGCTGATCACTTGGGACCCCCACCCCTCTGCTGTGACGTATCTTTCCTCCTGGCCAGTGTCTGCAGTGAGGGGACTGCCTGCCCCCCGCCCTGGGTGGTGGGGTGGGGAGAAGTACACCTAGACGCCTGCTTCTGGGAGCAGGTGGGAAGGAGGGCCAGGGAGAGGGGGCCTCACCAGGAACTCGTCACCTGCAGTCAGGCCCTGTTTACAGTCTGGTGCGCCCACTTTCAGGTCTCCCCGGGTCTCCCTCTGCAGTACCTGAACCTCCTTTCTACCTGGCTACGGCGGGGGTGGGCTCCCTGCTGCCTGCCGTCCGCCCTTCTCATCCACTCCGGGCCAACCCTGTAGTTCGCTGCCCTGAGGGCCCTCGGTGCCTCCTCCTGAGCCCCTGGATGCCGGGCGCCGAGGCCCGTGTTTCTGACCCCTCCTCCCGGCGCCCTCCGTGCTGCCCTTCGGCCTTGCTCTTTTCCATCTGCTCAATTTCTCTGGGCTCCCCTGCTCTTTGCTGTGGCTTCGGGCCTCCCTCGTCCCTTTATTGCCACCTGTGTGGTTACATCAGGGAAGAAGGAGAGGCACATATGTCTGTAAGTCCACGCTTGGCTGGACCCCGTCTGTCGTCTCATTTCCACCCTTTCTGAATCATTTTAAGTGTTTGAATGCTCTCCTTAAATAACAAGCCAGATCTTAACTCTCTTTGGCTTAAAATCAAGGCTCAGGAGGTCTTCCCTCAGAGGCCTAGCCTGGCCTGGAGCCCCGCGTGACCTGCCTCCTGCCTCGCCTCCCCCGGGACACGCCCCCTTCCCTGACTTGTTCCCGCCCTGCTGGGCCTCGAACATGCTGTTCCTCTGCATGAATGCTGTTCCCTTGTCTGCCCTTCACCTGATTTCTTTCATCCTTCCATGCTCATCTCTAACCTTTCTCCAGGCCAGGCCAGGTTCACCAGTACCTTCTCCAGTAGGCCCCTGACTGTAATTTTAAACATCCACGGGGTCTCTGGGTGTCGTGTCCTTCACTTAGGTGTTTGCTCTTGGCTTTAATGACGAGTTTAGCTCAGAGGCAGAGCTGGGTCTGTGAGGCCAGGAAGTGCATGTGTCTTTTTTAGTATTGTGTCCCCACAGCTTAGCACAGGAAGGGTACTCAGAGAGCAGCTACTAGAGGAGTGAAGGAATGAATGGATGGATGGGTGTGCATGTGGACCTGAGAGGGTGCCTGGCCCGGGGTCTGCTTGCCATGGCTGAAGACACCGAGGCTCACTGACACGCCGGGAAGGCACACATTTTCCCTATGTAACGCTGAGGACAGTCTTCTGAGGAGGCCTCTGTCAGGCCCGGTGCACTGCCTGGGGGAAGAAATTGGGGCTCAAAGAGTCCAGGCTTGCCTGACATCACACAGCCAAGTCAAGAGTGGGGGCAGAGCTCAGGCTTTCTATTTCCAAAGCCACTTTGTGCTGCCTTGGGTGGTCACATTCACGTCGCATGAGATGGGAGAGGCCAGGAGAGCGGAGTCAGTGTGCGGGCTGGCTTTGGCTGTGGTAACAGCCCTGAACCTCATGGCCTGCAGGTCACATGTCACCGATGGCTCTGCAGGTGGCCTGGGGCTCTGGGGGCCCCCTGCACTTGGCTCTGGGCTGAGGGCCAAGTTCACATCTGTTCTGTAGGTTTTTCATTCCAGGGTGAGGCTGAAGGCACCTCCACGCTCCAGGGCATTCTGTGGTCCTGCGGCAGAGCAGAGCCCAAGAGGGCTGCTATCAATGCGCAGCCTTCCGGAAGCGTTGGACCCTTACGACGCATCCATTCACACTCCATGGGCCAGAGTGTACCACGTGGCCAAGCTCAGTATCCGGGCGTGGGAGTCTAGGGGGTGGGTGGGGCGGGGGCTTTAGAGGGTGGATGGGGCTGGCCAGTGATACAGTCTAGCATAGAGGGAGGCGGAGCGACCTCCACGGATATGACCACGTTGGGACCCGTTTTCTGGGACCTTGCCAGCCTCACTGGGCTGCCTCCAAGAAGATGCTTTGCTGCTGTCCGCAAGTCTAAATGCATGCTTGTTGTTACGGGTCCCCAGACTCACTGGCAAGGGGTCCCTGAGTCCTCCAGTGGGTATCAGTTTTGGTTGATCTGCTGCCCATTCACTTGTTAAGTACTTTAAGCACCACCCCTGGGTATATGTAAACGCAAGTTACATATTTAACCCTTTCCTGAGCTGCCACCTCACCCCTTCTCTAGGACGGCTCAGTAGCCAGGATCTGCCACACACAGTGAGCCCCCCAGAGGGAGAACGTGCTAAAATAAAAGCAATGTATCTCAAACGCCAAGAAGAGCTTCCTGTCTGGTTACTGATTAAAAAGGGCAGTTCCTTTATTAATTAAGTGAACAAACAATTTTAGATACCTTGAACTGCTGGGCCCTCTGTGGGCACCTGGGGGAGTGCTGCGCTGGCTTCCTGCAGCAAGGTGTGAAAGCCGGACAGGCACTCGGAGGCCCGCGGACCAGCCCTTTCAGACAGAGGGTGAGCCGCCCGTGCTGAGTGGGGTGGCAGAGCTGGGTCTGGGCTCCTGCTTAAACGCTGTTCGCCATCTTAGAGAACACAGGTCAGTCTTGAGAGGGCCCCTGGGTAGTGAGAGGCCAGCTGGGTGCTGCTCTGGAGGCGGCATTATTGGTCCTCGTCATGCGTGTGGGAGCTGGGCCTCCCTGAGGCTGAGGCAGCCTGGACTCCAGGCCCCTGTGCGGAGGCTGGACCCGCTGCCAGCCCCATGGACAGAGGGGAGCCCAGGGGGCCTGGGATGGGGAGGGCGGACAGCGCCTTACAGCCGATTTCATCATGCCAGCACCCGTGTGGGAGCGCCCGCTCCCTCTCCGCTTAATCCAAACCGTATTGAAAACAATCCTCTCTGGAGGCCTCTGTTGAATAATAAGTGGTTTATGCCAGTTCAAGTGGGGGACTTGTTCGCCTTTCATTCATTCCTCTTCATCCTTATCCCTCTTCCCCTCCCCCAGCACCTGCCGATGACAAAAGGGAAAGAAGAGCAAGGGGCTGACACATGCTAAAATGAATGACTGAAATAAGGATTTAGGTTTTGGAGAGCTCCTTGCCCGGGTCTCTCCATGACCCTCTCAGCCCCCCAAGCCTGCCTGGAGTTCCCTGGGAGGAGGAGGGTTTGCAGGCATGGACAGTGGTCCCTGGGGTGAGGCTCAGAGTCAGTGCCCCCTTGGGCCCCCGTTTCTTAGTTGCACCACAGGAATCTGGATCTGTCCTCCCAGGGCAGAAGCGGGGACCAGGAGAGGCCAGGGCAGGGGGAGCCCTCCGCAAACCACTAAGCTGGGAACCCGCCTTGGGGGAGAGGTTCATGATCGCCGCTACGCCCTGCTCCTCTGGAGATGGGGGTGCAGGGGGCAGCGAGGAGGCCCCTCCTTCTCTGCACCTGGTGGTGGGGTAATATGGGGTTCTGGGGACAGACTGGAGGGGAGCAGGACCCCAGGCCCCACGCCCTGCAGGAGCGCTGCTTGGTGACAAGTGCATCAGAGAGCCTAGTGGCTTCGTGGGAACAGAGCCCTGAGCCCCTGTCTGCACCTCACCAGCCAGAGCACATTGGTAAAACCCCTGTGTGGAGCCACTTCCTTGGCGGGACCCTAGGTTAGGCCTTGTCCCTGGGACAGGAATGCAAACAGCAGTACAAACATCTGGGGCTGGGCACAGAGGCAGCGAGGCCGCCTCCTCCATGTGCGGTGCCAGGAGGGCACATCACTGCTTCTGCTCAGCCACGCTGGCCTGGTCTCAGAGCCGCCTGCCTCCGGATGCCCTTCCTCAGAGGGAACTCCAGGCATGTCCTCTCCCACCCCCACCCCGGGAAATGGGCCCTTCCTCTCTGGCCACTTTCCTCTGCTCTGGACATGAGGAGAAAACTGGGAGACTGACCATGTGGCCTTCCTCAGCTTCTCGGACCCCTGCCACTCCCCTCAGTGTCACCCAGGTTTTCAGTTCTGGGTGAGGGGGTGAACCGGAGTGGTGGCCAGCCCACCCTGGGGCCCAGCCCACAGCACCTCCGGACTCCTGCTGTCAGCTTTCCAACCAGGCTGAGCGCTTCTGGGTCCAGGCTTGGGAGATAAACTCAGTGACTCTGGAATAGAAACACCATATTCAAGTGGGTTAAACTCCAGCCTTGACATTTTTTTTTATTAAGGTATATTTGACATACACTCTGATGAAGGTTTTACATGAAAAAACAATGTAGTTACTACATTTACCCATATTATCAGGACCCCACTCATACCCCAATGCAGTCACTGTCCATCAGTGCAGCAAGATGCCACAGATCCCCTATGTCCCTTCTCTGGGCTACACTGTCCTCCATGTGACCCCCCACTTACCATGTGTACTAAACATAATACCCCTCAGTCCCCTTCTCCCTCCCTCCCCCCTGCCCTCCCACACCCCTCCCCTTTGGTAACCACTAGTTCATTCTTGGAGTCTCTGAGTCTGCTGCCATTTTGTTCCTTCAGTGTTTCTAGCCTTGACATTTAATTAGCATCTTTTCCAGCTCCCACACTTGAAGCGTGCCTGCTATTTCTTTTCTTTTACTCACAATACACTGTAAGGCAGGAGCATTCTCTTGAGCTCCCGAACCTCTCACCAGAAGTCAATCACTTTGGAAGCGTGACGAGCACCTCTGCAGGCCTGCCTCGGGTTCTGGCTCAGGAAGCGAGGCGCTTTCCCTGAGGCCACGAGAGCGCAGTGGTGAGAGCGGGTGCCCCGCTTGTAGCCTGCCCTCCCTCCTGCATGACCGTGGACTCATCACTCCGCCAAGTGAGCGTGTGTGTCCATGAACCCCTAGGCCGTTTGCCTCTGAAGACAGCCGGGAGGGAGCCCAGGGGAGCCGCCGGTGGTACTGCCTTGGGAGGGAGGGTGGCAGCCGGCCTACCCGGCCGTGCTGGGAGCCGACTGTGCAGTGGACAGTGGGGCCGTGGTTGGAGGGATGGCCCCCCCCAACACACAAACTCTCCCATGATAGCAGATGCGGTGTTGACAGGTGCCATGAAGGAGGGTGTGCAGCCAGGCTGGAACCAGTGTTGGGGGGGCCAGAGGGGTTCCTTGTACGTGGGGACCACGATGCCGGGTAGGATGAGGCATGGATGGAAGGTTCCAGGCAGAGGAAACTCTCTGCACTAATGCCCTGGGGTGGGAGGGACCTTGGGAGCCTCTGAGCAGTGGCACAACGGGTTTCTCACACCCACCTTGCTCTCCCACCTGCGGTCCCTGGCTTGGCTCAGGCCTGGACGCAGCTTAGCCTCTTGTCAGGCGTCTCGGCTCCTTTCCTCAGTCCCTTCCAATTTACTAACTGTACGAGTTGTCAGCAGGTTAATCTGAAAATATAGTTCAGATCATAATCCCCACTTATCTGGAAGCAACCAGTGTCTCCCAGTGGCCCACTGAGATAAGGCCTTGTGCCCTACGGCCCCATGGCTCCGCCTACCATCATGTTCCTGCTTGTGGCCTCACTTCGGCCCCACGGGGCCACTGACCCCCCTGCCCGGCACCCGTGCTCTGCCTGCCGCTGGCGCCTTGAGTTTCCCCTGAGGCCTGCAAACATCCTACCTGTACCCCAGTGCTGCCCCTCCATGAAGCCTGCTGACCCAGCATCCCGACTCATCAGCCACGCACCCCCTGTGCAGCTGTTAGAGCCGATGTGCGCGGCTGCTGGGCTGGGAGCCAGAGGGCCCGGATTGGCTCGGGATCTAGCAGGCGGCCAGGGCAGGCCCTTCCTGGGGGCCTGGCAGTGGGGGGGCCGGTGCATGAAATTTGCCTTCGCCTCCTGCAGCACAAGTCCTGGGGATCCCTGCTCCCCCCATCCTGACCTGCCTCTCCAGCCCCTTGAGGAGGTCTAGGAGGGCTCCTACTCCCTGGAGGGCCTAGTGTCCAGCTTGCTGCAATGTTTACCTCTTTCTGCTGAGACTGCCTAAAAGGCAGGGTCGTATGTGCAGTTACAGGAAGGCCATGGGCTTGGAGTTCAGGTCGACCAGGGTTCAAACCTGACTCTGCTGTCTGTTAAATGCCTATTCTTACCAACATTGTTTAACCTTTCTGAGGGTCTATTTCCATGGAAACAACAAGACCTCCCTTTTAAGTGTGCTGTGAAGGTTGAGTGAGATAAACAAGATCACGTGCTGGGGCGTAGTAGTTACTTGGTCGAGGGCCTGCTGAGAGAGGAGGGGACTCGCCCCTCTGGGGTGAACCTTGGTCTGAGTCTTTTCATCGCACTGGAGTAGCGGTTTTGGACTCTAAGAGACAGAGTCCTGGTGTCCGCAGGCACCCCCAGACCTCCCCTCCCCTCCGAGGCAGGGCAGCCGCGGTCAGGCGTTGCTCACGCCCACTCTGCTGGGGCTCTGTCTGCATCGGCTCCGACCCGTTTCTGGATCCTCAGCTTGGGTAGCTCACCTCTGAAGGGGCACCACAGGCCCTCCGTAGACTCACCTGGGGGAGAAGAAGCCCTCTGCCCTCTAATTATGCACCTGGGCAGAACTCTGCTAACATCCCTTACTAAGGTGTGTGAACTTTCTGAGAAAAGTCCCTTTTTGTCCAGAAGCTATGTGTGCTATTTGATGTTCTGGAGTCACACAGGCCTGTGTGCAAATTCTGACCCTTCGGTTTATCAAGTGTGAACCCCTGGGTAAGTCACTTAATCGCTAAGTCTTAGTTGTCTCTTCAATAAAATTGGAATAGAGTTGTTAAACGCAAAAACGTGTTTGAAACACTTGAGGCGTTGCCCAACCCACTGAAATACCCATTTATTCACGCAGCATATATTTTTGGGGAGCCTGCTGCCTATTGAGTGGTTCTA